GGCTGGTCTCTCGTTCCCTCTTTCTTTCGTCTCTCTACTGCTCTTCTTCCTTTTCCTGTCCGTTGTCTCTGTCTAACCCGAAAACTCGCTGACCTAATTTCCACGAAACTGCATTGCGTGTCCTACCTGCACAGTTGCACCTACCGCATTCGAAACTGCACGTTCCCCTTACCCCTGAATGTCCTCCGTGCACCTACGTATGACGCGCGCATACGTATGTCTGTATGACGCGCACCATCATCCCCTTTTGCATCCCTGACCCCCGTCCGCGGCTCCAAAGTCGCCCTCCTATGCGGAGAAAAAATATGCCATCCGGTGCATCGTGCCTCGTTCCCACACGCATACACTATTACACACGAACACGCAACGGCTACAAGGAAGCCAATAACGTGAATCGTATACACAGAGAGCGTCCAATAATTCAATGGGAATCCGAAATCCAACATCAAATCTATATTTATTTTATTTCAAAATATCTGCTAACGTATTCGTTTCATTTTCCACCTCGATATTTTTACAACACGAATACATCGGGATATGAACAAACCGTAAATGAAATTGCACGTTCCGTCTGTATCGGTGTCGTATTAAGAGACGCATAAAAGCGAACGAAAGATGAACCTCGCTAAACTATGCAACATTTCTGCCAATGGATAAGCTTCGTATTTCATTGGCAAAAAATGCTGCAGCCTGGTACAGTTGTTAAACGCATCCTGTATAATAAGAGGAATAAAGGTAAAGGGGTATCGAGTAATGTATTTAGCTGGTTGCTCGCAGAGAAATAAAAAAAAAGTCGGTCAACGGCGATTTAGACAGACGATAATCTACGGGTCGTGGAATCGGCTGAACGAGCAAAATGCGAATGTCAGTATATCGGCGAGCTGGGTAAGGGACGCGAGGGCGAAAGGGGCGTTTTGATGGAAAAGTTTTATCTTGGATCGCGATGGCGTTTCATACTCATTTTGTGGTCCTTTTATCGTGGCCGCCGATGTACGGAGAGAGAACGCCCAAGTTATTACCAAGGGGAAGAATTACATTTTGGTCTGTAAGTAAGCAAATATACATTTTACAGAAGCGTCGATAAAATTCCGAAAGTTCGTCAGTTTCTTATCAGACGGGTTTACCTACAAATTTTACTATACGGGGATTCGCGTTATTTCTACAATGCTAGGATACCTATAGAGCTCGGACAAGCTGTAATGATCCGACTCGGAAAATTATTTCACGCGTTACAGAAGTTACCCGCTCTTGTTACTCTATCCCATTCAACGAAAGTCATGCAGTCGATTTGCCTGAATTTAACGCGTATTTCAGCACACTCAACAAATATACAAAGCAGTAAATTACACGGGAACATGTAAGCGGGATAGGCGCTCAAAATGAAGGAGGACAGACTCGTTCATTCATCAATGAACTCTAATTACTGCCAAGAAGCAGAACCACGATTAAACCTCGTTTCGAACCACGTTGGTATCAACTTTTAATTGCACTTCTCCGATTCACTCTGAACAAAAGGGGGAGACCGCCAGTGCCGTTCAGCGGCGTAAGAAGAGGCCAAGTAGAAAAGCGAAAGAAACAAGAGGTGGAAAGGTAGAAAAGACTGCCGAGAAGTGTTAGGCTCCGCGTCGATCCGTAATCGATAATCGAAAAAATGTCGATCCACAAACTGGATACGCGCATTCTTTGGGAAAACCATACCGCAGTCCAGGTCAGAGTGTAATGAAAAGGTTAACTGTAGTTCGAACGAGTTCACTTTAGAGTTAGACTTCCATCTCGAGCTGTATATCGCGGCATCCGCAGTTTAATGATCTTGGTAACTTGGTTGGGCTTTTCCATTATTAGTTTGCTCAGGAATAAGCTCATCGATCTTCGAGATAACGGAAAAAATACTGATGAACACTCGCATCGATCGGGCGGATAAAAGATGTTAAATACTATAGATACGTGATATTAACAGATACGCGATTAGCAAAATTAAACAGCCACTGCTGACCTCCAATTATGTGTAAAGATAATAAATTCTGAATCATTATTCCCTTTTCTATGTGCTTAAAGATCTCTAGTGAATCTTACAGTTCATTCATTCATTCGCTCAATCGGTTGTATCTGTGAGAACGACTCGGAGATACGTCATAAGGATCCATACGGTGTTAATTGGAAACACCGGGATCCGCACTACTTAGAGCCTGTGCAGCGCCATCATTTTGAATGTCCGGTTGGTATCTCCGTTGGAGAGTGACTATACGATACAGAGAAACCGGTCGGAGCATTCTTCGTCTTCGGTTGGAGCTCGCATGCATCTAACAGCGCTCTAAGAATAACGTTATTTTACTTAACACGCAAGAGATTTCAATTTCTACAGAAAAGAACAAGTACAGTATGGCGTCCTTAGTTGCGAAACTACTCAATATGACTCCAGGTAACTTTATTACCCTTCAAGATCTTGCGGAACACACCTTTGCATTTACATTTGAACACAAACGCGTATTGCCCGTTAGAGAGAGAAAACTCTGTTCTATTTACAGTAATCGAAAGAGGATAAAGGTAAGCATGAAAAACTGCTAATAATTTAACGATGAAACGAATGTTTCGTTCGAATGTTACCGATCGTGATAGCCCTGTCCTCGTTAACGTCAGTTACCCTAGTCTGTTCGCCTGGGGTAATACCTGCACGCGAACTTTGTCAAAATTATCAACTATTCGAACGAATACACCTACCGTCTAGATAGACACGAACTGTTGGTAGATAAACCCGGTGCGGTGTGTCGTGTTCGTGGAAAACATAGGGGAAATTGTGCCCGTGCACATTAGGGCGATATCGTTCGAAATTTCCAGAAATTGTACACGGCCCGGACGCATTTAATTCGAACGTTTAAGGGTAAGAGCGTGGTGTGCAGCCTGTGTAAATGGAAATCGCGGCCGAACATGGAATACAGGTATCCACGAATGGACAAGCAACCGAGTGTCATAGCGGCAATTGCAGTTAACATCCGCCGCTCATGAACGATGATATCGGCCCATAGAATCGTTTATGGTAGAAATTCACTCTTCTTCGGAGAGAAGAGTAAACGCTTCAGAATTTGAGTAATACTATATGCCTATAAGATATTCATATTGACAGTTATACATATAATAGTATTCGTGTGAATCCGATGCTCGTAACGAGTAACCCGCATTCTTCGACTGTAGCTGGTCCGTCTAAAGCCAAATCTAATTACCGTTCAATCTGCACAATAGCTTTGAGACACCGACTAACTTTACTAGAGCTCGACAACTTGCCTGTAAGCCGGCTGATTCATGCAAACGAATCGATCTACGTTCAGGACAGCGTATACAAAACAATTGGTGAGTTTACAATAAAGAAACATTGCGCTCAAACTTTGCAAAATAACTGCAATTCCCCTGTAGTATTTTGTAGACGTAGAATCCACACACAACAAAGCAATCCTACATGCGAAATGCAAGAGTTAAGCAATCGCTTTCTTGATTTAAGCCGTCGACTCAGTACAGATGAGGTTTCGTGTGAAGCTGCAACGAAAATCTAAGCATCGCGTTCCGATTACGAGCTCGATGCGATTCTCGTTGCTAAGAGGCATCATATATGTATGTATGTACTTTGGGCCAACAAGTGTTGTTCGCTGATGCGTTAAAAGTAAATACGTAACATAGATCGAGCCGTGTCAGCGGTTTCATAACCTACCCGCTACTGCCTCCGAAATTTATGATACATTTTACGCATTTCCTCCGCCTTTTCCGTATTTCCTCTTACCTACCTTCTTACATGTAACGCGCCGCCTCGTGACTTAGGTGATATATAAAGATAGTCTCGTTCAACGAATGCAAAAGCATTCGGGCCGTCGGAGTATCATAAAACTTCCTATACCTCTTCAAAGTATCGCGAAACTCATTCGAGTTTATGGAACGCATTCTCGGGATGTATACCCGCGAGAAATCGCGAGGATCCGGATATTTCTCAGACGAAATTCAACGAATCATTCGTGCTATCTGAACCACGTTAATGTCTGAAAGGATGACTACCTTCCTTGTCACTTGATATATACCTATGTGTATGTACGTTTATCTAATATGCATTTCCATCAATGCTCCTGATTACATCGAATAAACTTCCTATAACTCCAATTATAATGTCACGTGTATATTCTATGGTACAGATATGTATAGAGATCGCGTCACCTAATTAAGATTAACTAATAAATTGCGGAGCGCGTGTATGCGCCTATACCTCCAGAACGCCAGAAAACACGTTTAATTGCTAAGCCTGTAGGCAGGTAAGCATTTAGGTCAAAGTGTAAAGTTTAAGGGTTACTACTGAAATTTGCATATCGCTGAGGCCCGAGGCGCAGAATCTTCGTGTTCTTGAGAAAGCTGTACATCGGATTGCTTTTCTGCTATAGGTACGTTTCTGATACCTCTACATTAGTACGTATTCCTGCGTTTCCAGAAATACAGAGTTATAAATATACCCCAGTGAAATACGTGAGTATAACTTAAAATCGTAAATTCTTCGCCGAAACGTCCCAGAATAAACGAGACTGTACTTAATACCTTTAAACTAGAGTGTTTGATTTACCTTCCTGTTTTTAATTACGATTTACTTTCCCGAACCGGCGAATTGTACATTTCATAAAAGTGTTAAGAAATTAATAGTGGACTATAAAAACAGCTAAAGTAAGGTTATTATTTTAAACATGACCGAGGTTGTTTCGGTACGAGTTAAAAGTGAGTAATATTCGTCTTACCCATGTCCGGAGTTCATCATATGTCCACACCATTTGTCCGGGAATGCAGAAGCAATTTCATAGTTCTAACTCGGATGGTCCAAAGGAAAAGCAGCACTATACAAGTGAAAATAATTATTAACTTTTCACATTAGGTGCAAACATTTAAACCGTTTTGTGGTACTAATCCTATTCAAACTTTTCCGGTGAGCTTCATCGTCCACCACCAGATGTCGGATAGATTTGCTTTTCATTCGAACGGAAGTTACAGTGCTGCCACCACGTAAATCTTTTTAGACTGGGTTTTTCTGGCAAGCACGTTTCGCATACGGTGAGTGTCCAATATTTTTCAAAATTTGTACGATTTATTTCAGCTGATATCGTTACATTAATGTTTCCGAAACAATCTATTTACTCTTCCAAAAATACTTCATTTTTACGTTCATATTACTGAGCAACTGAATGGTTAAACAAAAGGGTTTTGAAAAACAATTGCGTTACGATACGTTGCTAGAACACACGTTCATAAACGAAATGTCGGTTGTGAAATTTTCCAGTTACTTTTGCACACATTTTTAAGTTTAACGCTACACATAATAAAGTTCAGAGGAAATGTTAACGTGATAATTTGATAGCAAAACGTAATGATACTGCCGAGTACATGTTGTAGTATCACTTATAACGTGTTTTCATTTTACACTATGATTACATACTAAATGTTCGAACGGTGTCTTTTTTTTTTTTTCTATTACAGATTAGATAAGCCACGATGCAGATATTCGTAAAAACCCTCACGGGTAAAACCATTACCCTTGAGGTAGAAGCTTCAGACACTATTGAAAATGTGAAGGCAAAGATCCAGGACAAGGAAGGAATTCCTCCAGATCAGCAACGACTTATTTTCGCTGGGAAACAATTAGAAGATGGACGCACCCTCTCCGATTACAATATCCAAAAAGGTATAATACATCCTTCTAATAACATTTGTATACACATACATACAGTACGAATTAAAATAAAGAAAGTTCAGCTAAAATAGAAGGTCATCATAAAGTAATCAATGCATCTTACAGAGTCCACCTTGCATCTTGTACTTCGACTTCGAGGAGGTGTTATCGAGCCTACACTTCGTATTCTTGCACAGAAATACAACTGTGATAAAATGATTTGCCGAAAGTGTTATGCTCGCTTACATCCACGTGCAACCAACTGCCGCAAGAAGAAGTGTGGTCACACAAATAACATCCGCCCAAAAAAGAAGCTAAAGTAGACTGTTCATTCCAGTTCTACTTGCATATTCTGCAGGTTTCTGTACCCCTCAAAAATTTTAATAAAATACATATGAAAAACTAATTATAAGAATCTTTTCTGTAGTTTGTAGTATAAGGCATATTATAACAAAAGCATATTTATTACACAGTTAAATTTTAATGTAGATTGCAAAATATGTACAAAATTCTTTTAATTCAGGTGTATTGTAAAATTAATTTGTACATATCGATCTTTTAAGTAGCTGCTGCTGCTTTGTATAACTTTCATATAAACTCATATCATTGGGACTTGGTATTGATCCACCAACCTATATAACATATATACAATTTTAAAATGAGAAAAATAATTATTCAATTGTATATGAGATGCATGTACTCACATTTGCTCTTTTAACATATTGTTCATATATACTGATGCTACGTTCTTTCACTACAGGTAGCGTGATCACAGGTGTTGTGGTCTCTGGGAACGACGCTTGTTGCATTAATTTTGACCGAAGTTTCGTACAATCGGACGAATCTGTGGCATTGCGTCCAATTAATACAAACCTACAAAAACAAGTTCTACCTAAAGATAGTGTTACCCAAAGTATGAAAAAAACTTGACTTTCAATTTTTTACTTTTTATACAGTACTACATCGTTCCTTTTAGGATACTCAGGTTGAGTACCATATACTTCTTTCATGGATGGGAACAACGACTCAAAAGACGTCAATTCTAAACTTTCTTTTGAAGTTATTAGTTGACAATCATTAGTATGTTGATGGCTTTCTTCTTCATCCGAACTTGAGTCTTCGGTAGAACTATAAACCGTAATTAATAGAATTAATTTCTACTTTATTAAGTATATTTTTGAATTTCAAGTTAATCTCACCTTGCACTTGATGTAGTGCTACTGGTACTACTTTGTCCAGTCATTGAAGGATTTTTCATATTTAGATTTTTATTACCGGTTTCTTCCCTCCTTCTACCTGGTCGCACGCGTACTGCAAATGGGCTAAAGTTCGTTGTGAAATGCGGCATGAATTCTCTGACGGAATGACTAATTTGATACGCATAAACTTCAGAAAATAAAGACAACTCATAAGGCCTGAAAAAGTTATTCTGTGTAAACATCATAAACATTTTCATATTTGTCTAATACGATTGTCGGTACCTGTGATAATCGTAGTAAACATCGATCATTTCTTCCATTGAATTTTGTACTTGTATTATTTCTGTACAGGCTTTTGTTACTTCGTTCAGTGCATACGGAAGGCACTTTAACACGCTGGTGTCCCACCACTGTGTCAAGAGTTTTATTCTACGAGAGTACTGACAAGCGGGTTTATGATGAAGATAGTAATCCGTCAGAAGCTCCCAAATCGGAGGCTTTCCTTCTTCAGGTATAAACAATCCTGTTACATTAATTTACTGATGTTTTATTTCAAGAATTCAATACTATATATTTTTTACGAGCTTCACTATTTACCTAAGAATAAATTAATCGTGTGTTGTTTTTCTTGATCGCTAAACGTGTTACTATAGTACCTACTCAAGGTCTGCATAATATCGTTACCCTGACTAGTCCATGGTGCAGTCTTCCTAAATTATAATGAAACATCTCTTTGTAAGTTTCACGGATATGTTTAATATCATACGTTTTACCTGTATGTTTTTATTCTGTGTACTAATTGAGAACCACCATATTGCAATGCTAATGTATCACCATGATCCTCGTATAATTCTTCCAACATTCTTACACAATCAGAGTCGAATTCCAATTTAGGAGACTCCAATAGACCTAGAGCACATAACTGAAATCCTAAAGCACACTTTCCTATTGCAAATTGTGCAGTATTTGTACGATCTAAACAATCCACACAATTTGTTCGAATAATTCCAGTTTGTAGTGTACCCTTATGACTAAAGCATTGTTTTACTTTATTTTCTATCGTAAATTTGACGTCGACATTGTAATTTGTAGATGGGTTGTTAATATTATCAACTGTTGAGCTTATAGTACATTGACCATTGTAGGAATTATGTGCTAAAACAGTACTTGAATTTGTTTTGTTTAGTTTTTTGCTATTATTAGATTGAGCAGAAAAAAGATTTTCTTGACTAAAGTATGGATTTTGCGATTGAAAAATACCCGTTTTTAATACTGCGTTATAAGCTATATTTGCCAAACGAGCCATAACATTGACCTTTTTCCTAGAAAATATATTGTACTGTTAATACTTATACCTATACTTAACTCTTTAATATACTGTAATGTAACTATTTACACCTTTTATTCATTCGTGCCATATCAAAACTTATATATTGAATATGATGTTCTGGAGGTAAAAATTGATTTAAATATTTTACAGCCATACATAATTCTTCGCTTAGTGTGCTTTCATGCTTCTTTTTCTCACGCTTTTTAACAAGATTGAGAATTATAATTGGAGAGCCATATCTCTTTAAAAGTTGATTAAAGTGTGCACCTATATTTATTAATGACAATTAAATACCATATTATATGCAAAAGATATAACATTTTTACCTGCTGTTTCTACATACGGGTCAGCCAAATCACAAGTAATTGTCGGCTTAGGAACCATTTTGCTAACATCTTGACTCCAATGACCAGGAACTGACCCTCGCATTTGAACGAAGGAACTAAAGCGACCATTACTTAAAGAACTTACTCCCGAATCGTGCACAATTTGTTCTGTTTCCACTTCATTGGCAACATCTCCCTTAATTAAAATATCTTAATTGTAATAAAAAAAACGATCGAATATCTATCGGTATAAAAAAAGTTAGCAATATATAGTAATGCTCACATCAAAATTAGCCCCACGTTTTAAAAACCTAGTGCCTGCGTATTTGTTACTTCTTCTAGCTATAACAGTTACGTACATAGATCTTCCGAAAATACTAACATTTGATTGGCCGATAAAACCATGTATGACATATAAAATCCAATCGCGATGTAAATCCTTTTCTACTGGGTTCAAAAGATGAGAGTTCCATACAAATCGGCGATGTGGATTATTTCGTATACCGTAATCAGTATATTTCTCTGTGACACTAAAAGTATCAATCATTCGGTATGTGTTTCGCAAATATAAAAACTATGTTCTTTAATGTTTTAACAGACCTACTGTTTTGATGGTTCTTTCTAAATGCCCACATGTTGTAAAAGTCTCCTGCGTCTTCAATATCATTTTCTGTTTGATTTGAGACCTTACCAGAAATATTTGGCATATTTGACTTAATGTGTTTTGGGGTGCTCATATTATACTGTAGTGTATGCGTTAAGTCATATGAATAACTAAAGTAAAAATTACTGCTAAGATCAATACTTTGAAACATTTTGACATATCTTTGTTCATCAGGGTGAAAAACGCGCACAGTGTCGTTTGGAATATAAATCATTGAAGTGTCTTCAATTTTATACATTGTATGGTGTCCAATCACAGCCACTCTACGTCGTTTTGTGACTAGAATTATGTAGTATCCTTCCAGAAAACGTACAAAACCTACCACAAGATAGTTAACAGTTAACTGAAACTCCTTTTAATGAATACATCTACAACAGTGTTTTCATATATGTCTAATGCAATGTGCATGTAACATGCTCAAGACCATGTTTGCAAATGAAATAACATGCAAGTATTATATTATACCATGCTAAAAAACATACATATGTTGTATCTTACACACAGAATGTTTGCATTTATAAAATATTAAATAAAATGAATATATTATAATTATTTAAATATCGACTTTTCAATCTAATTATTTACTATGGAGATGTTATAGAGGATGACCATTAGCATATGAAAGCCATGCTTTTATTACATTATATTCCCATTATATACCAATTTTATAGATTCTGCAGTAGTCAAAAGAAACTGGTACCTTTGTACCTATAATTTATTGTGTGCAAATTGAAAGTATATATACCCTTTAGAAAAGATGTGATATTTTGTTGAAAGTACTTCGTATAAACTATAAGATTTTGGAGTATTAAGCTTAATATTAAGCCCTTACCAAGAAGGCCGAAAGCTGGCACTAGTCGTGGAAAACTGTCTCTCTGCCACATTGTTTTCCAGGTGAATTTAGTTTGAGTTGGTTTGTGCATCGGCTTTTGAAATTCTTGGTGCTCAGACTCTTCTGACATACCATTGTCAGATGTGGATTGTTTGTAATTGCTGCCTTTGTCAGCAAGCAAATATAAATAAGCAATGTCTTTTATAATAATTTTAGCAGTAGCTTCATTTTGATGTTATTAATATGTGAGATGTACATCTAATACTAGAGTACATTTAGCATGCAATTAAGTTAAACAGCATGCAAAAGTGTGAAGCATCAGCTCACATCTTTAATTGTAAAAAGTATTTGTGTACTAATAAACTGATAGAATATTTTCATATATAAAATTTTATACCGTTCACATTTTGCATACTTCTATGCAAGTGTTAATAATTATAATATGTGAAAATTGCATATATAATAAAAGCATGTACATGCACTAAGAGATTGTAACAGATACGAGATTCAAAGAGAACCTGGAAGCTACTTACCAACAATACCAAAAGCCGAAACAACTCTTGCAACTCCACCAACATTATTTCGCTGTCCGATTCGCGTACGGTTGCCCATGTCTATCATGTTCACAAGATCTTTTATTTCATCCTGAGTGTATTCTCTTTTATCATCTACAACAACTAATTCTTTTGGCTCCATACGATCTATTTTCAACACTCGAAAACGAGTCAATGTATTATTCGATCCCATTAAATAAAATCTCTGCAAAATAAGTTATATTCTGCCTTTAGAAACATTTACATTTAATTGCAATAATATTTTTAAAATAAAGTTTGTAATACATCAATCATTAATCTTACAGATTTTGTTTCATAAAGTGCAATTTTTTGTATTGAAGAAATAATAGGATGAAATACAATAACTGGAACTGAATTGTCATCCATTGTAGATTACTTGTTTTTAACGTTTAATACTTCTGATTCATTTTACATGTGATATTGGATTTGACAGATTCGACCATAGAGTGACTGAAAGAGACACACATAAACGGAGTGATAGCACGCCGGTACTCGCGGGGTAATAAGATTCGCGGTAAGGGGGCGAGCAGCCATACAGTGGGTAACTCGTTCCTCTTCAATTATGTTTTGAGGACAGCCATTAATAATGAGCCGACACGAGCCGAATGTACCCGAAGCAATTAATCGATGTCAGACTACTGTACATACCTCTGCCAGTTCCCCTCCAATCTTACGGCACTCCTCGCCAAAATTGATACCTCATGCTCCGCTATCGTATTGTATGTATCTCTCAATATGTTATGGTAGACATATAATAACATTATAGCCACCGAACGCTAGATATACATACCTAATTCAAACCTGACCCAAATATAACCTAGATCAAACCTCTTTCTAAATAAACAAAAACGAATCTAAAAAATTGTATTCGAGCAAGGCTCGTTTCAATTCATGTATGTATATACATCTCTATACATACTCACAATCATTGTAAATTCTTGGAACTAGTCAGTCCAATACATGAATGATTTAAAATATAAACCTAGGGAGTGAAAGAAGAGAGTGGTTTCAATACTTTATTAATAATAGATATTCATTGGATGTTACAATTTTAAATATCAGAATTTTTCTAAACATATCTATTTACAATTTTTTATTTTACTCATTTTTCTTATCTGCTATAAGGTAATACATATTGGTGGCAAAACCTGCAATAACTCCCACAACACTGATAGCATACAAAACTTTATCTTTTCTACCCCCTAGAGTATAAGAGGGTTTTGACAGATCAGCCTGCAAAAGAAATACTTTGAAATAAAATTTTCTGTTACTATAAAAACTATGGGTTTATACCTGGTATTTTTTGTAAAGTTCTGCCAATTTTGGAGGCAATGTGGAATAGTTGCCTACGGTAGATGATGCTACCTTTACTGGTTTAGTCTTAATAGTATCGTACATCATCACTGGTAGTTCTGTGCTTTGCAATGGCTGTGGACTCTGCAATGGAATTGTAGAATTTTTTAAGAATTTTCTGATCATAGATAATATGTTGAAGTTTGTTTAATAATAGTAAGATTTTATAATAATTCAATGTTTTATATTCTTTTTATGCACTGACACTGGATGTTACATAAACATGTGTATTTTATTTATCGTAAAAGTCTTTTATATGCTTATGACATGGTAAATATACATATTACATAAAAAATTATTAAACTAATCAGTTATCTTTTTCAGTAATATGTAATAAAATGAATGAAAAAACAAATTACAAACGGCTGTAAAACTGCAGTATACTTGTTATTGAAACACTTGCTAACACGAATAATTTTCAACTTAAGAACATACTGAACGTAGCCGTTACTTACTAATGGATAAAGAGGTTGAGATTGTGTGGACTGTTTTAAACGACCAGTGAATGGATTAAATTCATGAAACGACATCTTTCCTAATTGCGCAACTTACCTCAGTTTATCAGAGCGTTTTTCGTAGCGACTTTACCACCCTCTATATGGATTTGATGGCTGGATATTTTGGTATTTAATGTATGTACGTTGGTACCATGAGGCAGTATGAGGTTTAGTTATTTCGATAAGTATTCCTCAGAACTAGAGATGGGGTGAATTGCTACTTGTGAATCACTCGTGATAGCATTTACTAAATCTTAATTTGCGTTCTTTAAGTTTCAAATTTTTACATTGATGAATATAAAAACAACACGGGAACCAATTTATAAATTGATCTGTTTGCAATTGATCGATCGATGCTCTCGGGTCCTACGGAGATCGATCACGATTTCCATTATGCTTCCCTAACGAACTCTTCTTATTGAACAATTAGTAAGGCTCAATCCACATACATACTTTGAGCTGTAATATACTCATTAGTTTCTCAAACAAAAAGTTCAACAGAAAATCGCAGAACAATCAATATAAATCAAGCACATAAATAAGTTTCTTTGACATGCATGCAGTGGACAACAGTGGATCGTATGCAAGGTGGCGTTTCTCGTTTTATCATTGCAGAAGGAATATTAAATATTAATTAAAAGTGTCATAAGTGACAATTGTTTCTATGCAATATCAATTCATATAGGAACTATGTAGGGACTCTGGACTTGTAGAGGAATGGATAATATTATTCTGATCACCATTATATATCATGTTATATTTTTCAACACATTATATATTAAGTTTCTGTACTATGTATGCATTCTTTTTATATTTTCTTATTTATTTATATACTACCACCGACTAGGTATAGAATAGACCTATCATCCAATGTTTTTTTCTGTCCCATGTTCATAGGGCTACGTAGCCCTGTTACTATTTTAGTGTCAATATCCGACGTTACCGATAAAGCATGAATTCTGAGTATTATTAGCACAAATGAAGTGTTATATATTCCATTCATATTACGTGTATCTATGTGATTTCACGAGAATAAAAATATCCGATGCTTCAGTTTAAGGTTAAGGGATAAATATGACAGTCATGAAACATGAAACGGAAAAGTATATATTTTTTCACTTAACTAAAAGACAATTTATTCTAAATACATGGTTAATGGACATTTTATTAATGTTACTTTTTACATGATCTTGTTTCATTCGTTTTTCTATCTTGCCTTACATTTGTATATTTGTAACAGATAAATTCAGAATAGACGTAGTTTCATAAATAGTTTATCAAATCTACCTTTTGGCCGATGGCTTACAATTTCCCTTGCGGGAATGCTTTACCGTAATGAGCCATCTCGTAGCTACGGGATTCCGAGAATCGAGTGACGCCACGGCGTGTAAGCGAGAGCGGTAGAGTGAGCCGCAGTATCGGTGCTCTTCGTCGGTGTTGACGCGTGCCGAAGAATTTCGGCAGTCTATGGGGGGAGGTGTGCGAGCGAGAGAGTACGGTAGAGCGTGCCG